CCCCAAAACCCCAAAACCCCAAAACCCCAAAACCCCAGAGGATTGAATCATAGATTATAGAGGAATAATTGGACTATACATAAAATTAGTTTTTCATGTAAAATACATCAACATCTTCTGATCAAATTCAAGACTAAGTCCTCCAAAATGACATTATTCGGGCATAAAACCCACCGTTGTGGGATGTTGGGCCTGAGTACCAGGTTGTCACTGAATTGGGATAAGGCAGCTATGGAGTGGTGGTAGAGGCTATCCATCTACCCACCCAGAAAAGAGTTGCAATAAAGAAACTTCAAGATGTCTTTGAAGATGAAGAAGATTGCAAGAAAATGGTATGAGAAATTTTATTGCTAAAGTCTCTGAATGATAGTCCATACATTACACGCCTCCTTGACATAATTGAACCTAGAGACATCAATAACTTCAAAGATGTGTACTTAGTAGTTGAGTTTATGAGCGCAGACTTAAAAAAGATTATTAAAAGTGATATTTCCCTCACAGAAGATCACGTCAAGGTCATTATTTACAACATCCTTCTCGGAATAAGATGGTTGAGCTTGGCTAAAGTTTTACATAGAGATATTAAACCTGCAAATATATTGATTGATGACGATTGCCACATCAGAATTTGTGACTTTGGCCTGGCTAGGTCTTATGACTCAATGCGACCTGACCCAAATAGGTATCATGAGATCATTTAGAAATAAATTAATGCTCAACAATCAATCATACTAGATGATGGAATTCGTCCTTAAACTGTCGATCCTCTATTGAAGAGGAAAATCACTTCGACTATCCTAGATAACTCCAAGAAAGAGAGATCGTCAGTCAAACGTAAACTCTCCGACCACGTTGTCACAAGATGGTATCGTCCACCAGAAATTATTCTAGTGGAAAAAGAATATAGCTCTGAGGCTGATATTTGGGGAGTTGGCTGTATATTTGCCGAGCTTTTACAGAGAATTCAGAGTTAAACCTAACCGGCTAATGAAGTAAATAGAAAAACAGATGCTTTATTTCCTGGAAAGTCTTGTTTTCCACTCTCACCTGATAAGAACGCTAGAAGAGTAAATACTAGAAGAAATTCTGGTCACCCTTTAAATCTAAATTAATAATAATCCAATGGTCATTATGCCAAAAAATCCTATCCAGTCACTGATTAAGATTAGCTGAAAATGATAATTGATTTATTGGGTACTCCTGGACCTGATGACATCTCTTTTATTACAGATGACTCTGCTCTGGGTTACATGCAAGAATATGGCATAAATATAAAAGCTGTTGATTTGTAAAAGAGATTTCCATAGGCAAGTAGTGGCGCAATAGATTTACTAAGGCAGATGATACAATTCAATCCTTACTTAAGAGCAAATGCAGAAGAATGTATATATCATCCTTATTTCGATAAAATAAGAGTATCTGAGATATTAGACACTATAATGCCCCGAGTGGTTCAACTTTAAATAGACAACGATGAAGTAAGACTCTCGATTGATGAAATGAAACAAATTATAATACAGGAGATTGAGTTTTTTAAGCTCAAAAGATTGTAACAAGGAATAAAGCACATTGAAAGTATCTATGTGATTCCGGATAGCACTATATGATTATTAATTTCTTAAGATTTATTTTTATTGAAATTAGTCTTTTTCTAATCTTGACATTAGATATAGAGATTTATAACAGTCATTTTTATTCTAGTAAATTTTCTCTAATTGAATAGGTAGTGCTCCATATTTGTACTGGCATAATATCCCTCAGTGTCTCAGGATAAACGAAATCTGGGAGTTTCCTTTCCGCCTATTTCAAATAATTTTCCCCTGTCTCTTTTAATTACTTGACATAATCTTCATAATTATGGTCATTAATGCCTTCTAACTCTTAGATTTCGAATGGCAAAATCATAGCGTAATAAATCATCATCTCTATAACTTACAATAGCCTAACTTTCTTCACTATTCTCTTACAATCTTAATCCAATATAGCCCAGAGATGTTCCTCAGCCAAATCTTCACTTTCATGATAACAGAACAAGTAGCCGAGAATTTATAGATACTCTACTTTGTATGTTCCCTGATAAAATGCTTTTTATGACTTGAATATCTTAGAAGCTCTGCTAAACTCATCATCAAGAGCGCTAGGACTTATATTGATTATCGGTGCTATTTCCTTCAATGGCTCTTCAGTGATTCTACCTGTATAGCCATATCTTTTGATTGCTATTTCGTAATGCTCGTATTTAACTCCTTTCAAACCTAATTACTTCTCTTTATTATATAGTTGTCTCTCAGCACTACTAGCAGCATGAAATTACGGAGCATATGCATTGTTCTATTGGTCCTTAGGCAAACAAACCCCCCTATTTAATCATAAGACTAAGATTAGTGAATAATTACATCTTGATTCTAATTTCGATAATTAATAATCATCAAATTTAAGTATAATTTTATCTTCCTTCCGGGGTTTTGGGGTTTTGGGGTTTTGGGGTTTTGGGG